TGGAGCAGGAGAAAAGTGGGGTGCAGAACTCAAATTCTAGTAAAAAGATCAGACTTAATGGTCTGACTGAGACTAGAGGGACCCCAGAAGACATGGCCCGTGGACTCTCTGTCAACCCAGAACTAAAACCATTCCCGAAGCCAGCTCTTCAGACAAAGATTAGACTGGAGTATAAAACATAAAATAATACTCATGAAGAGTGTGCTTCTTAGTTCAAGTAGCTACACGAGACTAGATGGGCAGCTCCCGTCAGGACACAGGATGAGAAGCCAGAAAGGGACAGAAGCTGATTGAATGGACACGGGAAACCCAGGGTGGAAAGGAGGCGTGTGCTGTCACATTATAGGGATTGCAACTAGGGTCACATAACAATATGTGTATAAATTTTTGTATGAGAAATTAACTTGAGCTGTAAACTTTCACCTAAAGCACAATTTAAAACAAATTACGATGGTACCACTGACCTCACTGGGTTTGGGGTGGGGGGGAATTTAAGTGAAACAATGTAGGCGAAAGTGTTTATTAAAGAGGATGGAAAATAGGAAAGCAATGTATTCCTAAGCCATACAGGAGTGTTTAGAAAAATATTGATTGAGTGAACGAATGACTTATCGAAATAGATGGAGAATGATTTTAATAATATCAAACTTCCCTATTACCTATGACAAGGCAGTACCATTTTTCACCGAACTTCCAGGGAATAACAACACGTTCCTCTCCCAAAGGTGTGGCGCCCTCCGTAGAAGCCTTCGATAAGCTGATGAACAGCATGGTGGCCGAGTTTCTAAAGAACAGTAGGATCCTTGCTGGTGACGTGGAGACTCACGTGAGTGCTTCCTTCCCCTGTTCTCTCGGTAGCGTTTCGAACGACCAGCCCGGCTGCTGCCAGCTCTAATGGCGAGATGAGATCTTTCTATAGTTTTCTACTCTATGTGGGTCCCAGCTGCCGTTGTGTTGATTCTGACTCATGGCGACCCCGTGTGTGTCATAGTAGAACTGTGCTCCGCAGGGCTTTCAATGGCTGATTTTTTGTAAGTAGATCTGCAGGCCTTTTTTCTAGGTGCACTCAAACCGCCAGCTTCTTGTTTAGCAGCCGAGCGCACCCAGGGACTCCCTAGCTAGTCGGTGGTAGCTAAAACATTCATTTATGCATTTATTCATTTAATCATTCATGCAACACGTACTGATTGAGCTTGTGCCAGGTGCTGTTCTAGAAGCTGGGAATTAAGCCAGGGATGAACAAGACAGGCCAAGTCCCTGCCCTCACAGAACTTCCATTTTAGTCTGGAAAAAGATGCTAAAATATAAATGTATAGACTAACCCAGGTGGTGTTAAGGACCATAAACAAAAATGAAGTTGGGTAATGATGCAGAAGTTCCGGGAGCAGGGAGTTGGAGGTGTTAGCCGACCTCATGTCTGCCCCCAACTCATGGCAACCCCATGCTCGGTGGAACAGTATGCTTCCCGGTCCTGTGCCATCCTTATGATCGGTTGCAGACCAGACCACTGTGATCCATAGGGTTTTGATGGACTGATTTTCATAAGTAGATTTCCAGGCCTTTCTTCCTAGTCCTTCTTAGTCTGAAAGCTGTGAACCTGTTCAGCATCATAGCAACACACAAGCCTCCACTGACAGAGGGGTGGTGGCTGTGCGTGAGGTGCCTTGGCCAGGAATCGAACCTGGTCTCCCGCCTGAAAGGCAAGGATTCTGCTATTGAACCACCAATGCCCTCTGTCAGGGAGCTGGAGACAGGGATGGCCCGTCTGCCGAGGTGACAGCTCAGCAGAGAGACAGGGATGGCCCGTCTGCCGAGGTGACAGCTCAGCAGAGAGACAGGGATGGCCCGTCTGCCTAGGTGACAGCTAAGCAGAGAGACAGGGATGGCCCGTCTGCCGAGGTGACAGCTAAGCAGAGAGACAGGGATGGCCCGTCTGCCGAGGTGACAGCTAAGCAGAGATGACTGAAGTCTGTGAAGTGGGGAAGGGAATCCAGGCAGCGGAAGCTCAGGGACAAGGGCCCAGAGGAGGGTGCAT